GTTTATAGTATTTTTAATAATGCTATTTTATCAATAAAATATAATAAACAAATTTATCAAACAGATTACATTTTTTTAAATTTAAGCATATGTAAAGACAACAATAGCATTTATTTGCCATTTTATTTTCAAAACAGAGAATTTTTTAAAATACAAACTGCAGTTATATTAATTAACCAATAAAAATTCAAACACGTGATTAACTGAAGTTAGAACTATAGTTACAACTGCAGTTTTAACTTCAAATAACAAACTGGAGGTCAGCTCAACTTAAAGACTAAACTGCCAGTTTTTGAACTGAACCAAACTGAGTTGAATCGATAATATCCTTAAATGGGAAGCACAATACCGATCCAAGGATTACATCAATAGTAATTGATATACTAACCTCATATAACCCCCTACTTTAGAGGAATAGAGGTCAGTACTTAAATCATTACCCACGGATAGTGATATCTGACAAAATTACCTTTCTTAATATGACGAAATTGATGAAACCAAAATGAGCGAAACTAGTTTTTTATTAATGACAAAATTATTTTACTTAATTGCCAAAATTATATTTAACTTGATCTAAATTCTTTGAATTAAAATACATTAAAAAAATATAATAATTTTATATTTATTCATATAAAAATATTAAAGAAATGAGACTTTTGACGAAATTACAATTTTTCAAAAAAGAGCTTAGTCAGGTATCACTACCCACGGACAAAGCTGCTGAACCTTCTAAAAATTTTTATCAATTTATTTAAAAAAGATAGGAATATACATATCATTCTATTATGATGGTTGCTTATATGTTGGATCTATGTTTCTTAGAAAAAAGTCAAAATACAGATTTCGAGGCAACTGGGTATTCTTCTGTATTTATAACATTACCAATAGTTGGTTTAATCAGAAAAAATCTGTAGAATTGTTTGTTGAGCTTGTAAATTTTCGCCAAAAAGCTTTCACCATATGATAATGAAATAATTTGGATGTTATTATCCACTCTTAGTCCTTCTGTTTGCTGGAAATTATGGAAAAAATAGACAATTAGCTATCAATTTTTTTCTACATCATTCTGCAGCCGCAGAGAGAAAATTTTCAACTTTTGGATTTATTCATAGCAAAATCCGAAATCGATTACATAATATAATGATCGCGTTAAAAAGTTGGTTTATATTTATAGAAATCTCCGAATGTATGATGGTTTCAAAAACAAAATTATATAATAAAGGCAAGAAAACTACAAATTATCAAAATAATAATAATAAAGGAATGACGATAACGATTTATTAAGTCTTGACGATAGTATTTTCGGATATAATAGATTTGACGTTTGATAATTTTGTAAATTTTATTTAACCGGTTAATTAACCAAATCTTAATTTAAAAGTCTACAATCTTAGGTTTCATAAACTTGATTGAGATCACGTGAAATTTTTTATCAAATAAAACAAGGGGTAATTAACTTCTTTCTTCTTCATTCGCTTTCACTCTTTTAAAACTACATTTTTCGGCAGTAAACTGACTGCTGTTGCCATTTCGTGGTTTTTGTCGTAAAGACCAAATGTTCTTTCCTTAATTTCTGAACCTGGTTGTGACACTCCCTTTATATTCACATATATATATTGGAACAAAAAAAAAGAAAAAATTAACGACCAATTTTCAGAAAAGATAAATATTCTTTTGAACACAACCATGTCGAGCGAAACGAATATTGACACTACTATTGTAGGGTCTTCCTCTGGTGATACGTTATCTATTAACTCTGTCGTTACTACCTCCACAGATAACACCATGGAAGATACTGCTGAAAAACAAGCTCGTAAGAAGCAAAGCAGACAAAGCTGGAAAGGTTCATCTAAGGGCGACGGTAATTATACTAAAGGAAATAAAACTGCTGGCCTCGTAGAAGAAAATAATTGGAACGAAAATGGCGATGAAAGGAAGAAAAAAGAAAAAAAGGCGAGTAAAAATCGTGGCCTCCTGGCTGATGGGACCGATCAACCTAAAAACAAAGATGATGTGTTGGACTTAAATGACAACAAACAATCTGTTGCACAACACCAACGTAGAAAGTCAACGGCTAACACTCTTGATATTCCAAATAAAAATAAAAATTCTAACAACAACCTCAACAAATCATCTCACCGTCGTGGTACTTCTATGGCCAATGTTGCAGAAATCCAAAGTTCTTCCTCAAAAAATGCTGCTGGAAAATCTAGAGGTAGTAAAGACGACTCTGAAAACAAGTCTGAAGCCCTAGAATCTCTACAACAAATTATTGCTAGTCTCAAAAATTTGCCAGCCGTTCCTCCTAAACCTCAAAAATCAGAGAAAAAAGATGAAGAAAGCCATACCGAAACAACTTCAAAACATAAACGAGGCGAATCAAGCATTAATTCTGGAAAACGTCCACCCGCTGCAAAGCAACACAAGAAAAATGCATCCGTTTCATTTTCTTTTCCTTTAACCTCTTCGGCGGTTACCAGTTCATTGAAAGGTATTCCTGACTCAGAAGATGGTAAGCCAATGGATATTGAAAATGCCTTACAAGACACTATTTCTTCTTTGAGACGAATGAGTTTGGACAAAGGTAAGGCTCAGAAGGAAAAGGAAGTTGATAAGAGAAAGGAAGAATATGAAGATGGAGAGACTGAAGAAGAAAAGAAGGCACGACGTAAAAAAAACCAGAATAACCGTAAATCTATTAACCTTGATGAAGTTTCACAGTATGTTGATAGAAATCAAGAATTAGCTTCACCGAAATCACCCTTTGATTTCAAGAAAAATGAAGAGCAACAACAATCAGCTGTTAAAAAATCTCATCGTCGTCATCAATCACTTGGCCACACGTTGTCTGTTGCATCAACTTCTTCATCTGTTGTTAAACCTAATATTCCGACACATACCCGACGACACAGTGTCGCTCTTAATGGAAGCAAAGATGTTCTTAAAGAACTTGAGAAAAATCAAGGCAGACAATCCGGAACAGATTCTAAAGGTGGTCATCGTCGAAGCAACTCTAGAAACTTTGATGGTAACTGGCGATCAAGTAAGTTTTGTTGAGAAATATTTTTTCCGTGTAGAATAGCTTTATCGATAATTCATGCTCCGACACCATATGAGTGAAAGGGTGAAGTAATGAATGCAAATGCAATTTTCGTTCTTTTAATAATACTCAGCTGCCTCACCCCTTTCTGCCTTAGCACAACCTTTTCAACCATTCCCACCTAAATACGGCATGATAAAGAAGCAACAACAAAATCAACAGAATTCTAACAATCAACAGCAAAGAAAATCACTTTTTGCTCCTTATCTTCCTCAAGCAAATCTTCCTCCACTTCTCAAACAAGGTCAACTAGTTTCTGGTGTTTTACGTATCAATAAACGCAATCGATCCGATGCCTATGTAACTACAGAATCGCTCGACGCTGATATTTATATTTGTGGATCCAAGGATAGGAATCGAGCTCTTGAAGGTGATGTAGTGGCTGTAGAATTATTAGATCCGGAGAAAGTTTGGCAAACAAAAAAAGAAAAAGAAGAAAAGAAAAGAAAGAAGGAAGAAAGTTCCGGTATTGACAAGAAAAAAGTTGATAAAAAGAAAGATGATGTCGAAGTCGAAGGACAAGGGTTGATGTTATTTGAGGATGATGATATCGTTACAGACGATCAAAGACCTAAATACTGTGGTCATGTTGTTGCTGTTATGGAAAGGATGCCTGGACAACTTTTTTCTGGGTATATTATATATTTTTCTTAATCTGAAATAATTATTAAAATATCATGGTTATTCACTAATGTTATATTATTATAATCATATGTAGAACGCTTGCACTACTTAGACCTTCTTCTACCGCGACTAAAGAAAGAGAAGCTGCAGAAAAGGCTCGTCGTGAAGCAGAAGAGCGTGCTGCTGGTATTGAACCAAAAGTTGAAGAACCAAGAGACGATAGGAGAGACGAAAGAAATGAACGTCCAAAGATCGTTTGGTTTAAACCGGTAGATTTTTAAGCAATTTATTTTATTATTACCTTGGACTTTATCTAAATATTAACCTTAATTCATTATTTTATAGACCGATAAACGCGTTCCTTTGATTGCTATTCCTACCGAGCAAGCTCCATCTGATTTTGTTGAAAATCATCAATCATATGCTCAACAATTGTTTGTTGTAAGTATAATTATTTTATAGTATAAAAATGATAAAAATGATTCATTTATATATTAATGATTTTCATAATTTAGGCATGTATTAAACGTTGGCCTATTACCTCCCTTCATCCTTTTGGTACATTAGTCACTCAAATTGGTGAAATTGGAGATATAGATGTCGAAACCGAAGCTCTTCTTAAAGATAATAATGTATCTTCTGAGGAATTTAATGAAGTTGTAACGAAATGCCTTCCTTCGTTGCCATGGACCATTCCTGAAAAGGAATTTGATACACGTCGTGACTTGCGTACTGCTAGAATTTTCACCATTGATCCTTCATCAGCCAAGGATCTTGATGATGCTGTCTCTTGTTCTCGATTACCTGATGGTAATTATGAAATTGGAGTTCACATTGCAGATACTAGCTATTTTGTGAAACCAAATACTCCTCTAGATAGAGATGCTCGTAAGAGAGCTACTACAGTATATTTAGTGCAAAAATCTGTTCCGATGCTCCCACCATTACTTTGTGAAGAATTGTGCAGTTTGAATCCTGGTGTAGAAAGGTAATTTTTTTTTTCAAAATACATATAATTTATTCCTGACTTTTGAATAACTTTATTTCCTATAAAATTAGGCTTGCATTTTCTGTAATTTGGAAAATGACACCCGAAGGAAAGTCTATAGATACATGGTACGGTCGAACTATCATCAGAACATGCGCAAAATTGTCATACGAAAATGCTCAGGAAGTGATTGATGGAAAACCCTTAAATGCCGAGGTCAAAATATTTAATGATTATAGTTCTAAAGAGGTAGAAGCTGATATCAAATTACTACATGTAAGTTAAAAATTTGTTATCCATGTATAAATTATTTAAGTATAATTGTTAAAAATAATATTTTTTATTTTTATCTTACATAGGAGTTGTCCCAACGTCTTCGTGGGTTACGTTATAAACGTGGTGCTTTGTCTTTGGGTTCCATCAAGCTCAATTTTGAGCTTGATGAGTATAATAATCCAATCGAATGCTTTGTTTCGGAATATAAAGATGCCAACCGTCTTATTGAAGAATTTATGTTACTTGCAAACATGAGCGTTGCACAAAAAATTTCTAGTGCTTTTCCGGAACAAGCTTTGTTAAGACGCCATGCTCCTCCTATTGAGCGTAGACTTGTATGTTTTGTAGAATTTAATGGTTTAAAGAAAATTCTTCACTTACTTAATACATTTTTATCTATTTTATAAATATATTTTCAGAATTATTTCGTTGAGCATGCTAGTAGATTAGGATATGATTTTGATGTTTCAACTGCTGGATCATTGCAAAAGTCTTTTAACAATATATACGATAATGCTGTTAGAGAAGTATGTTATTAGATTCAGTTTATTCCATATTTATTAATTATGTATAATTAATAGTAATAATTATGACGACTTTTTTTTAGGTATTAAGACTTCTCGCCATTAAACCAATGCAAAGAGCAAAATATTTCTGTACTGGTACTTTGGATATTGCCAAATATCATCATTACGCTTTAAATGTACCTCTCTATACTCACTTTACATCTCCTATTCGTCGATACGCTGATGTTCTTGTTCATCGTATGCTTGACGCTGCTATTTCCGGTGGTGAGTTGATTTCATATATTTATTGTTTTTATTAAAAAAAAAAAAAAAGGTAAATAAATTAATGAATAAACAAGTTAATTATTCGATTGAATTGTAGAGAAACGATTCTATCTTGATAAAGACACCGTTCAAAAGACAGCTAATCATTGTAATGTTAAGAAAGAAGCTGCAAAAAATGCTCAGGAACAAAGTAGTCATCTCTTCCTTTGTGTTCTTCTTCATAATTTGTCGGTACAATCTGGTCCTGTCATTCGCGAAGCGGTCGTTGTTGGTGTTAAAGATCATGCTTTTGATGTTTTAGTTCCAGCTTTTGGCATTGAAAAACGTGTTCACTTGGATCAGTTACCTTTGGAAAAATTTATTTTTGATGATGAAACCGGTGATCTCACTTTACGTTGGAAACCTGGTGTCAGTTCTCTTGAGCCGATCCTTTATGATGAAGGTTTCGCAGAGGATGACGATGATGTTTTGGATGTAGACGAAGACGCTTTGCTTGCTGATGATTATCATTATGAATTAATGGATGTAACTAGTCGTCCTTTTGAAGATGAGAATAGATTGTTCGATGTCAGTTCTGATATTGGTGAAGATGATATCGATGATGAGAATCTTATAATTGGTGACGAAAACGCTGAAATCAATCAGGATACTATTTCTACGGTTCCTACTGTTTCTACTTATGAATTTCAAAAAGCGGAGAGTTTAGCTTCAGAAACATTTGACCAATCACTTACCACTAAAACGACGACTCCAATTATCAAAGTAACGGAGCCACCTCAATTGTCAATAGATTCTGATCCTGACATTCCTAACTCTCAGATAATTAGGGAGCTTTGTTATCTTCAAGTTGTTATCACAGCGGATTGCAAAAAAAGTCCACCGGTTATCAAAGTTTTGGCCGTTAACCCTTATGCGTAAAATTCTTTGATAATCAAGCATTTAAATGTACTAATATGTTAATGTTTACTTTATATATATATATATATACTTTTTTTTTTTGGTTATAGAAATTGCATATATTAGGGATTTTTTATTTTGTTTTATCTTTTGGCTTATTTTGACGGTTGATATTTTATATTTTATATTCAATTTTTTTCTATTAGAGAATCCTTTTCAGAAATACCCCCCTTTTTTACTTGGTTTGTTTGGTTGCGTGTTTTTTTTATTTTAATTTCCTTTCTTAAGCCGTTTATGTATTTACTTTTTCATTTGTCCGCAGAATTTGGTTATTACTATTATTTTTATTACAACAATAAATTATCTAAAAATCTTTATAATTTCAGAAATTCTAGAGTTTACGGTAAACATGAAATATATATAACATTGTAACTTATCGTTAAATAAAATAAATTAAAATAGCTGTTTCTCGCACCCAATTTATTGTTTCTCAAATATAAAAAAAAATATAATTTAATACAATTAAATGAAAGTATATTTATATAAAATAAAAATCTCAATAAATTACTATTAATCAGTAAAAAAAAAGATCGAAGCTTTAAAAGTTGCTTTATTTTGCATCAGCAAAACCCACCTAAATAGAAGCAATAACAAATTGGATTAAGCAATTTACAATTAAATATCTAATATAAACCAATAATATATAAATTTGATGATTACCCTATCTTTGCCAAGATCATAAATAGTATAGAATTTACGAAGGAAAGCGTCACCGACTGTGGATTAAATGAACGGATTGAAGTTGAACATTTTATATAAATAATTAACCACAACAACTTATTAAGATACTTACTAATCCAAATTGGACCAATAGGTTCAGGGATGTCTAAGCCATAGAATCCAGAAATACATTGATTTTGAGCTAAAATTTTTGAATGTTATTTTCGTTAATTTCGAGTTTACAAATTAAAAAAATTAGGATAAGGGTTGTTTTTAGAACACTAAATAAATACCTTTTAGGATATAATCGGAACCAGTCAAGGTAAATAACTTGCCATTGAACTGCATGCTGAAATCCGGTAAACTCGGAACTTTATCACAATCAATTATATATTGACCAGCGTAATTTTTCTTTGCACCAATTTGTTTGTTAATTAAATCAGCAACAATAGTAGGTACTGCCAAAAGTGATGTACCAGTATCAATGGCTGCACCTGTATCTGTCATTTCAACTTCTTCACCATCAAAAACAATCTTTTCGAGTTCTACTTCCCAATAAGCTTTTCTTTTAACCGAAGCCCAGTGAATTTCTCCGGTATAATGTGTTTGGTCGATACCACCAAAAATAATTTCGCCTCCTTCTTCTTCATTGTTATCTGCATCATTAATCCAAAAGGAAAACATTGGCTCATCGACAAGTCCTCGATTAACCATATGATAAAACGGAGGTACAACCCCCTTTACAGAGATTCTATCATAACCTATTGATTCATCATAATAAATAATATAAGATATCTTTATTTGTTAATAATAACTCTGATTTTTTTAAAAATAAATACCAAGTCCAAAAATGCCATCGAATCGACCAAAAGCAAAAGTAAACCCAGGTTCTTTCACAGATTCACCAAAATCTTGGTTTTCAATGGTAATATCCCCAACCTCTAAATTATCCTACAATAAATAATAAATGATAAGTTTCAAAAACTGATTAGAGATTTGAAAAAAGTTACTAAAAAATTTCAGTTAAATTAAATAAAATCCGCTTACATTACTTATAATGCCTTCCAAACTACCAGTACCGTATTGAATCGCAAATTCGGTACCATTAGTCTTGAAAGTTTCAGATTTACCAGAATCATAACGACGATGAAGAAAGCATGCGATGGAAGTACAATGTGTGGAAGGAACCCAAAGATTAGAAGAACCAGTATCAAATATAACACTGAATTTTTGTGGTGGAGTTCCAAGAGAAATTTCACCAAAATACTATTTCGATAAAAAAAAAATCAAAAGGATTTTGCATTTTATCAAAAAATGGTGCCAAATTAATATCTATATTATATCTTTTTATATATATATATATATTTTTTATACTCACTTGAGCGTTCATAAAATTTGTTAAAGGTACGCCGTGATGTACTCTTCCCATAGAATCCGGGACAAACATTTGGTTTGCCTCTTGCATATGACGAGAACTACCGAAGTATTTCTGAGTCAAATATTCACCGGTTTGTGAATAACGATGAATTTTCTGAGACGGAGTCTCAGGAATTTTCTTCAATGTCATCCTTATAAATTAACTCTTTTTAATAACATAGCAACATAAATAGATATTTATAAAATTCCGCTCATTTAATAACATACTTATGAGTAGCAGCATCAGAGACACCAAAAAAAACAACCAACAAAAGGGCCAAGCTAATCTTCATGCTTATTCTTTCTCCTGTATATTTACGTAAAGAATTAAAAAAAAAATAAAAAATAAACGAACTGAAAAGCAAAGTTATACTCTTTTTATATATATATATATAAAATTGACATAAGCGCAGTAATTACCATCTTTGATTTTGACGCCTTTTTCCGACGCCAGATAAATTGTCTAACAATGTGACATCAAAAACATTGATTAAGATGGAATTTGAATAAAACCTGTTTAATTTTAAATTAACTAATTAAATACTGGTTTTTTTTCGGAAAATTGGATCGCTAATCTTTATCCTTAAAATAATGTAAATATTACTGTTTATTACAAGTTTAGATAATTTAGATAATCAACAACTTGGACGAAATCTAGTATTTGCTTTACTTACGTATTCCTTTTATTAAAATTATTTACAGAGAAGAATGATTAAAAATTTTGATTCTAGAAGCGATTAAAACATTCAAAAATGACTAACATAAGTGTTCGTGAAAACTTATGATATATTACATTATTTAAAGTAAGGTATTTTGATATACACTAAAAAAATGCTTTGCCATTTCTCAAAGTAACAAACCTTTTTAGAGAACGAGTTTAGATAATAAAAAATCAGTTATGAATTAGTAGAATCCAGTTCAGTTTACAACAGAATAAACTTAAGGTTATAAGTTAAAATTAAAAATTTATTATGTCAATGTATTATAATATTGCAAGTCTGGACTGATCACCCTAGTGACAAATAGGATGTGACAAATAGGTTTCATACCATGTGAAAAAAACTAAGTCCAAAAAATAAATAAAAATTATGCTTCGCTGCCTGGTGTGACAGGCGTAAAAAATTATGCAGATCTTACCTATATAAGTTAACCTGGCACACATTTCAGATATGCTATAATATTGAAGTTTGCTATTTACCATCAGCACCAATATTATGTTTTTTATTATCTCATATAACATTTAAGAAATCTTACTATAAAATCTCTTAAATGTCACCAGTTACATGAGGTGGAAATTTACTTATAAACTTTGGGGCGATACATATTAAATCATTTAAGAGAAAATGAAACAGGTATATTTTAGTAGTAAAAAAAATTCTCTGTCCTTTAGAATACAAATAATACATGTAATATAAACATATAAAATACATAATACCGGTGGTAAATAAGAATTCCAAAAACTTATAAGTCACAAGCAAAAAAAAATTTTTTTTATGTTTTTTATACATTTTTCTTATTAAGATATTAATACAAATTCAAATTATAACCTATTAAAATTAATAAAATAATACAAATTTATAATATTATAATATAATATAAAATTTAATTTTATTAAAATTTGGCTATAATATCATGAATTTTAATACTATTAAAATTTAAAAATATAGTTTTAGCTATTCCTTTTAAAAAAAGAATATTTATTTTCAATTGCATATTTGTTGTTCCAATATTATAAATAATATGTTTTGAATTATAATGTAAAAAAAAGATAAAAATTATTATCAAATTCATCTGTAATAAAGTCTGCAAAAATATGATCTTGAATTTGTATAAATACTTATAAAGATACATATAATAATTTTTTGAATATCTGTTACTTAGGTTATATAAGAATAAAGTTTGTCTTTTTGTTTATACATTACGATTATTTTTGTTATACATAATTGAGTATCAAAAATAACAATAATAAATGCATTAATAATAAGAAAAAATAAAAAAATTACATTTGCAATTGCCAATTGTTTTAAAAATATAAAAAAATTAATAATAAAAAATTAATAAAATATTATTAACTTTAATAATAAATACCTGAATAATCTAAAAAATTTTTTATTTGGTTATACATTTCTAAATGATTTAAATGATTTGTCTAACGATCTTGCTTTTTTTGTCATATTTGTCATTTATGCATTTAAGTATATTATTTGCAATATTTGATTGAATTAAAGTCTTATTTTTCACTTTAATATTTAATTGATAAAATCATTGTTATTTTAAAACTCTACATGTAAAAGCTTTATATAATATTCTTTCATCAATTATTGCTTGTAAATTTAACTTACCAGTTGATAATATATAATTAGTAAAGTTCAAATCTGTTTAATATAGTGTAAATATAAAAATATAAAAATAAAATAATAAAAACAAAATAAATTATTAAAACTTATATTATAATTGTTAATATATAAATATTTCTTTTGTAAAGTTATTAATTGAACTTTATAATTAGATAATATATCAGTTTCTTGTAAATTATTGGATAATGTAAAAATTGCTTTGCTTGCTATAAATAAAGCTTCAGATAATTCAAGTTATTCATCTTGAATATTATTTTGATTAATTCTATTATTAATATCATTGAATAGTATATTATCATTATCATATGGGAGCGTTTCCAGTAAAATCACATTACGGATCATATGATTTACTATGCCTCATAACTTGATTTTACTGGAAACGTTCCCATATATACCTGGCAAATTATTTTTACTAGAATAATACATTATAGATTCTGATCTTCTTTTTATAACTAACATATTAGCAAGTTCAAATTCTTGATAAAAATCACATTTAAATGCATTTTCTATATTAGAATCTATTAGACA